TACACCCTCCTCGCCAGTGATTTTGGATCCCTTGTTCCCTTGTCCCTGGGTTGGTTAACACCACTTCCTTTCCCCCACCTCCCTCTCTCCCATGTCCCTCCGGAACCATCAGTCCCGTTGTTTTCTCCTCCAGATTGTTTATCCAGCCTATCTTATCTAGATAGACCTGCCTGCAGAGTTAATAATATGCACAAAAACAAGACAGAGCAAAAGAAAGCAACAAAAGAAAACAAAACAACAACATAAAAACAATAACAAAGAAAAGAAAAGCCTGTAAATAGTTCAAGGTCTGTTTGTTGACCTTTAGGGGTGTTTTCTGGTTGAATCTGATCAGGTGCTATGGGGGACTTCCTTGCTCTGCTTCCCTTGCTATTGTGATGCAAGCGTTTAGTGCTTTGCCTTGGTGTGCTGGGGTCAGACCGGGCGCAATTCCCACACTTTGTCTCCAGTGTTGTCCCCTGTAGGGCTATGGGTCAGTGAAAGATATCATGTCTCATAGTGGGGCCGGCCATTTCTTCCCCCGTCCCCCACCCTCCTTTTTAGTTGGCTACCATATGTATCCCTGAAATTGGTCTGGCCCCTTCCATACTACCCTTGGAAACATTTTTCAAACTCATCTGTTTGGATGGCTGACAGCATCTCCCTCGTTGTTTTTTGTTTTGTTTTTCACCTCTTCTACATCGTCAAATCACTGTCCTTTCATGTCCTTCCTTCTTCATTCGTGGAAACAGAGCAAGGTCAGGTGAGTCAGGTATGTAGGACAAGAGAGGCGTGCTGGGTTTTGCCCAAAACTGGCACACTGAGCTGGCTGTGTGAGCAGGTGCATTATTGTGATGGCAAAACCACAGTCTGCTACAAATTAGGCTTTTGTTGCATACTAGTATGCTATCTTTTCAGAACCTCTCAATAGAAAGTCTGATTAACACTCTGACCTGGTGGAATGAACTGCAAATGCACTATCTCCCTCCCTAACATCATACATACACACACACACACACACACACACTCTGAAGTCTTTTTACAATCAAGCAATAGTTTAGCTTAAGCAGCAAAGAGTGTCTGCTTTGAGCATCGTGCTCTTTTAAAGTCTATACTGGGATCAGATTGATAGCAATAAACAGAGTTTAGATAGGAACCTTGGGGGCCATGGAGTTCACGTTAACAAGAGAGGAACAACTCGGAGGAGGGTAAGAATGGCGGCCCAGCTTGAAGCATGCCCTCAGTCTCACTGAGTTGTACGTGTAGGAATTGGGGAATTGGTATACATTCTGCTGTGCATGTTCTCAATGACATTATAAAAAGATAAATGGAAAAAAAAGTTTTTCTTAAAAAAGCTGCCAGTGGTTTCATACATTTATTGAATCAATAAACAGTTTACCTCATGGAACACACACACGTTTTAAGCATTAGTTTCCACGTCTGTACCACTAGATGGCACTAGTGACCAAAATCACAGAGTAGATGCTGATCTCTGAGGTCCTAAAAGGACCAAGAACCTCGTCAGAACTGTGATACAGGTTTCTTGTGCCCAGGGTACCTAGTGTAGAAGAAAGCATTCACCATGTGCATATGTCTCTTTTCTGAAATCATAGAGAATTGAGCCAGGGAAGTAATTAGAGCAGGCTAAATTCCCGTAACTAAAATAAATAAAAATAAATTTTAGTAACTAAATAGAAAATAAAATTTCATCCAAGGAGCCAGAGAATCAAACAGATCACATCATCTAGTTTTCAGATCAAGGAAATTAAAACATTGTTTCTATAAAATGATACCTGTTGTCCATTTAGTAACCCAAAAAAACCCCAAACAACCACTGGTTAAGCTGTAAGCTTCCAACTATCTTCTCATTGATGGTTCTTGAGAATTCTGTGGTATCAAATCAGAATGATTTCCTGATGTTCTCTCTTCCTTTCAAGACCCATGGAGGCTGGATGAACTCCTGAAACTATTGCACTTAAGCCTTAAACCAAAAGCTCTCTGGAAGAGAACAATGTAGAGTAGAACTCAAACGTATAGAAGAGAACATGCTTACTAGTCAGATGGAGACTGGTAGGTCCCCCAAAGCCTTCCATCCTCTTCCACCGTATTTTATATTCTCAAAGGATTCTTTGACAGGGTAAGGGATAGTAGCAGAGTTCAGAAGTGAACTCAGCTCATCCTGAGATAGCAAACATACTGGTATCTAAAACTGACTGACGGTGTAATCTAATGAAACCTGACATAAACAGAGGTTAGTGTCATATTGCCAAAGCCACAAGTTTGGGGAGAGTTATTAGTCTATGGCCCCTTTGCCTCTATAACAGC